GTCATTTGTATGTGCTGTTTTTTTGTTCATGACTAGCCTTTTACAAATTTTGGACTGGATCTTTTTTTATTAAACTTAAACTGAGAAGGGTCTGTAGGATCTGATTGATTTTATAGACAAGAATGTCTGGGCTTAATAAATAATTGCTGCTCTTGTTTTGCAGTTATTTTAATTATAGAACCACACGGTTTTTAGCTGAGGAAGGATTTTACAAATTTCACAACTGGTTTGATGACAGAGCATGGTATCCACTGGGTAGAATAATTGGTGGCACTATATATCCAGGTGATATGGCCTATCAAAATGTTATCTCTTTTGTTTCCACATTCCATCAGACACATCACATTTAGTAGACAAAGGTGCCTTTAAATATCTAGAAGATTTAATGAACAGATTTATTTTAATTCTCGCAGGGCTCATGGTAACATCGGCCGTCTTGTATCACTTCATGAATTTCTTTCATGTCACAATTGACATCAGAAATGTTTGTGTTTTTCTGGCTCCTTTGTTTTCTTCATTGACCACCCTGGTCACTTATCATTTGACTAAAGAACTCAAGGTATGTAGTTCTACTGTGTATAGCTGGTCTGTCATTTTTGCTTTCCATTTGTCTTACTATTGTTTATTAACACTACTAAGTCATTTTTTTTTCAGCATATCTTGCTCAAACATTTAAATGACATGATTTTCCTTTATACTTAGAAATGTTCTATGTCACATCAAAATTAAGTTTGCCATTTAGAGTTGGGAATTAGGAAGATGTCTTTTCCAATGATTTCAGTTTTTTTCTTTTAAAGGAAAGGATAAAAAACTTGCAATGTTTGAGTTTACTTTTTATTGGGTCAGCACCTACTGCTTTTTTTTTTAGCTATCTCTTCAAGAGTTTAATTGATATTTGTATTTACTGACAGGATGCTGGGGCAGGATTAGTAGCAGCAGCTATGATCTCCATTGTTCCAGGTACAATGGTTTCTGTTGTGCTTTTTAAAGAAACTTCTAAACTTTGGGATCACTTAAAAATCAAAGAAACATCACAGAACTTTTTTTTTTTTCATTTTGATAATTGTTTTAATTGTTTTCTTTTCAGGTTACATTTCTCGATCAGTTGCTGGGTCATATGATAATGAAGGTATTGCCATCTTTTGCATGCTGCTTACTTATGCATTGTGGATTAAGTCTGTGAAGACTGGCTCACTGTTCTGGTCAACCATGTGTGCTTTGGCTTACTTCTACATGGTGAGTGAATTAAATGCAACTTTTATAATAATCATTTATCTCCTCACTTCATTATTAATGTGTAATAAAGGAAGTTTATGTGTGTGAAGTCAAGTCACTTACTTGTTTCTGGAAACAAAGTCATAGAACCTACAACAGGTTATATCATTAATTATCACAACACAGTAGATTGAGCTTTTGTTTTGAATTTCTATTTTTCAGGTTTCCTCTTGGGGCGGCTATGTGTTTCTTATCAACTTGATTCCTCTCCATGTTTTGGCTCTGATGATCACTGGCAGGTTTTCACACAGGATCTATGTTGCTTACTGTGCAGTAAGTACTTTCAGTAATGTATAGCAATGTCCTTAAGGAATATCACATTCAAATGGCCATTATCATATATTCCAAGGTTGTAGGAAAATTTAGTCCTCTTAGGGAGCACCATTTTCAGGTGACTTATTGTAACAATCTTTGACCCTCATGTTTATCTGGAGTCAAAAATTAAACATTTACACTCTGAATCTTCATTGTTTGCCTGTCATGACATTCTCCACTTCCAACCCCTTCCTTGCAGTTTTTATTTATTTACATCAGAATTTTCATGTTATGAAAGTGATCATTGTATTGTATTTTCCAATTTCAGGTTTACTGTTTGGGAACCATTTTGTCCATGCAGATCTCATTTGTTGGATTTCAGCCTGTACAATCCAGTGAGCACATGGCGGTAAGTATTTTTTGGTTATGTTTTCTTTTATCTGCGCTGACATTCACCTTTAATTCCACATATTTTTGCTCTTTACATGCAGGCCTTTGGTGTGTTTGGTCTGTGCCAGATCCATGCCTTTGTGGACTATGTTCGTGCACGTATGCCTAAAGAACACTTTCAACTGTTGTTCAAGAGTGTTGTGCTTGTTGCAGCAGTCGGTGTCTCAACTGTTGGTGGCATACTCACTTTCACTGGTAAAATCTCTCCCTGGACTGGCAGGTTTTACTCCTTGTTGGATCCATCTTATGCAAAGAACAACATTCCCATCATTGCCTCAGTTTCTGAACATCAACCTACAACATGGTCATCATTTTACTTTGATTTGCAACTCATGGTGTTCATGTTTCCTGTTGGACTCTACTATTGCTTCTTCAAACTCACTGATGCCAACATCTTTATCATAATGTATGGAGTTACAAGCATCTACTTTGCCGTAAGTGGAGACATCCTGACACGTACAATAAGATATTTAGATATATTTGTTATCAGCTTATCTGTAAGGAATCATAGATGTATGTCTATTTGATATTGCTCATGCAATTCGAACTCTTTAAAATTTCACTGGATACACCCAGCCTGTGAACAGTATGGTCAAACCTTCCTGTGAGTGTGCTTGTCAAGGTTTGTGTCTTTACTTAATTTTCATTGTTTTTCACTGAGTTTTTCTCAATATCCCTTGTGTTTTATTTTGGTTTTTTTTTTCAGGGAGTTATGGTTCGTCTAATGTTGGTGTTGGCTCCAGTAGCTTGCATTCTCTCAGGAATTAGTGTATCTACAATCCTCACAACATACATGAAGGTAAATACAGTGAATGCCCAAAATAGCATGCAGCACTTAAATTTTTCTTCTTTTTGTTTTGTTTTGTTTTGTTTTGTTTTTTTTTTAACTTTGAATCATTTTGTTGTGTTAAGTATTTGAAAGCTTTCCACATTTATTCTACTTCTTCTCGTTATCAAGAATTTAGATGTTTCCCGCCGTGACCGTAAAACTGCAAAGAAAACCGACCCAACATATCCAATCAAGAATGAAGTGGCTACAGCAATGGTGGGCCTCATGTCTTTACTACTCATCACCTACACATTCCATTGTACTTGGGTCACATCAGAAGCTTATTCTTCACCGTCAATTGTACTCTCAGCCAAACAACATGACGGCTCCCGAGTTATCTTTGATGACTTCCGAGAGGCTTACTACTGGCTCAGACAAAACACTCCAGAGGTAGTTTACCTTTCAGTTTGTTGTCAATTGGATAACCATAGTAGCAAATAGGGTTTGATTGTGTCATGGTATTGCTGGTATTAAAACAGCAACTTATATTTTGTAATACTGTTGTTGTGTTTATTTCAGGATTCTAAGGTGATGTCTTGGTGGGATTACGGTTATCAGATCACTGCTATGGCCAATAGAACTATATTAGTAGACAATAATACATGGAACAACACACACATCTCCAGGGTGGGGCAGGTATGTTCAAAATACTCTTATGGCCAATAGAACTATACTAGTAGACAATAACACATGGAACAACGCATGCCTCTTCAGGGTGGGGCAGTTATGTTCAAAACACTCCTATAGCCAATCCAACAATAATGCATGGAACAACACACACATCTCCAGGGTGGGGCAGGTATGTAAATATCCCAGTCCATATCTAGTACCTATAATCCTGTTGAGTGTGGTTTGTAGGTCTCGCTTGTGGACGACATCAATGCCTTCAATTAAGTTTGTGAACTGATGTCCTTGCATGCTCATCATTTGGTCTGTCTGTTGAAGGCAACACTTAAACCTTGATCTTGAACTGATGCCAGGTTAGGTTTAAATGGTGAACTTTTCATGAGCTGAATCTTGTACTTTGATTTAAATAATTGAAAACAATGACTGAGCTGTTCTTCCTAGTTGGCTTATCCAGGAATTTAGAGTTCAGAATGGCTTTGTTCTGGCTCTGAACTTTCTATGTGCCAAACCTTATCTATGATTATTGTTATTAAAACATATTTAGAAACACAAATCCTGCACTCTTTTTCAGGGAAAGGGCTTTGATGGCTAATTGAGTTTAGTTTCTGAAACAACAGCCTTTCTTTTTGAGGTTGGGGTGGTCCAAATTCGAATCTAGTCCAGCCTATGAAAAGTTGGGCATCCTAACAGGGCCTTGGTTTTCAAGTGGTAGCCTCATTTGTGAGGGCATCTAGTTAATGTAAAGTGATCAGTTAAACTATTGTGGAACATTGCAGGCCATGGCATCAAGTGAGGACAGAGCATATGAGATCATGAGAGAACTGGATGTGAATTATGTGTTGGTTATTTTTGGTGGTTTGACTGGATATGCATCAGATGGTAAGGGTGCAGATAATGATTTGTCTTTACAACAAAATCCCCTTAGTTTTCATCCATTGAGTGCTATGAGAATTCTAAAATTTATTTCATTCCTTTTTGGCATCAGTTTGGCCCTGCTTGGATATGTTGTACACTCTTCAAACAACTGGATCCTGATAAGTGATTGTGGGATGTTTTTTTGTGTCTTAGATATCAACAAGTTCCTGTGGATGGTCCGTATTGGAGGCAGCACTGAGAAAGGTCGGCACATCAAGGAACATGATTACTATACACCTGCTGGAGAGTTCCGTATTGACAGGGGTGGTTCCCAGGTCTTGCTCAACTGTCTTATGTACAAGATGTGTTACTACCGGTTTGGTTCTGTTTACACGGAGCAGGGTAAGTACCTACCCACCCACCCCTCCCTCTCTAATGCAAAGCTTGACTGTATTATGTATGTTAGTTTGGTTGAATCAACTGAGTTGTGAAAGTAACTTGACCACCATAAAGAGTTTCTAGAGCATTAGCCTTCATCATTTGCTCTGGCAAAGTTCTAATGCTTGAAACGTCAGCTTTATAAACTATTTGTGATTGTCAACTCAGTCAATAAAACCAAATTTATCTCATAATACGCTCACCACTGCAGCTCCACAATTAATTTAGACACTTGGCCCATTTATTCATTTTAATTGCTATGTGACCTGAGTTAGACCCTAACTGCTGTTTACATTCATCTTGTTGACTTTTTTATTTGCTTAGGAAAACCCACTGGTTACGATCGTGTGCGTAATGCGGAGATCGGAAACAAGGTATGTCAGTCTCTAGCTTCAGTATTAAAACTGTGCACGATAATTTCTCAGCCGTGACTGTTATAGGTTGTATACCATGTCTGATTTATGCAACATGCAACCAATCATGCAAACATATCTTATACATCACTGGACTGTAATAAAGCACAGCACCTAATGTATAACTGTCAGGTACAACCATAAAACTCCATGACTTGTACAAATCAATTTTTTGTTGTTGTTGTTTTTGTTTTTTTTTTTGCTTGTAGGAATTCGAGCTGGATGTGTTAGAGGAAGCTTACACCACTGAACACTGGCTTGTTAGAATCTACAAAGTAAAAGATCTTGAAAACAGAGGTTCTTAGAATTCACAAGCTCACGTTTTTTAAATCCAAGTATTGCATTAGATACTAATGCCCATGTATGTCAAGGTTGTTAGTTGTTAGACAATTTCAAGCAACAAGTGAATAAAATTACAATTCCAAGTTTCATTAGTCGTTAAATCTATTTGAGGCTTTGTTTATATGAGTTAATTGATTCTTTGTATATTTGCTTCTTTTCTGGAAGTTTCTCAAAGCGTTCCCCAGTAAAAGCGTTATCTTTCCGCAGTAAACTTGCCCTATAATACCATCTCGCCAGGAGGCTTGGAAAATCCACTATAATAGAACACCTGCAGAGCTTCACGCGATTTTATATTATCAGGGTGTTCGTCAGTGACATAAGAATGGAAGGGTACCAATGAACTCCTTTTAAGGAATCTTTCCCCGGCCACTCAGGTAACCAAACGATTAAGCTGGTCAGTTTTTTCCAGGCTCTGTTCAGCAGGTCAGCTGTTCTGATCGGTGCCATAACTAAATGTGCAGCATCATGAGAAGGCCAGTGTGCATAACACGATACCAATACGCCATCAACAAATAAAGTGCCTTGCCTTGTTAAGGGGGCATACACACCTTTCATTGTCATATGTGTAATTTGTGTAACTGTGTCGAAAATTGGGCCGCTTCCATTCAGTATAAGTAAATCTCCCATTTTAATTTCTGAGGCAAAAACAGCGGATATAAATGACGTATTTGTTTCCTTTCTGAAAATCAGATGATGTGCGGACAACTTAATGCTGTTTCCTGTCTTGGTTTTGAGGTTGTAAAATTGTGCCTCAGCATCGATTTCCTTATGCAGAAAAGTAATAACCTCGCTGAACTTGCTCTCTCCATTAGTTCCCAGCGTCTGCACTTTGTCCCCGACTTTCAAATGACTCATAGGGATGCTCGCACCAGACTCCATCGTCACTTGAGAAATGGCGGGGAAACACAGGCGGCGCGGCTGTACACGGATTGGACGAGAAGACAATTCTGGAAAGTAGCCAATTATTAATGGTCACTAAATCATACTGATAAACCGAGAAATGATTAGAAAATTTAGTTTCACACAAACCATAATCCCCAAATCTGTAAACAAAGTTGGCTCCAGATTTGCCGACTCCATCTTCACAGTCCACTGATGAACCGTCCCGTCCGAAGGTTTTCTCGCCCCCGGGACCACTCCAACATTCCGTGTAGTACTGGATTCCAAAGACTTTGAAGCCTCTCTCTCGGGCTTTCTCAGCACATGCCATCACGGTCTTGTTAACATCTTTGCGATCGATAGTGCCTCGGAAGTTTGCAATAAGTTCCGGAAGAGGTCGTGGTTTTACGTAAGAGTCTCGGTAGCAGCCTACAGGGGGTGTTGTCCAAGAGCTTGCTACAAATTAAGAACCCTAACTTAAAGGTGTAAATTAACCGTTCAAAGGATTGGAAGAACAGATTTAAAAAAAAATGAAAAAAGATGTAAATGCCAGTCGCGACGAAAACTTACAATGATTGGATGTGGAAGGGGCAGTTGTTGTTGTTAAATTTTCTTGAGCTTGGGTGGAATTACCCATGGTAACTGAGGCAATCGTGGTAACATCCTCGGTTCCATGCGGCCATGGAAGCGGAGTGACGACAAGGTCCAGGGAACTAGTGCTAGGCCTTGTGGTGCTGATGTTCTGAGCGGCTGAAACAGGCCACGGTACATTACATCAATGGAGAAAAAAATGTATGAAACTACCTGGCAGGGCAGTGGTATACCTTACAATCGCGGCTCCGGAAATAAACTGATCTCAGAGTATGTAATGCACCGTCTTCAGAGAGTTAGGCGTTAGTACATTGCTAACACGCAGAAGAGTTCCTCTGATCAGAGCGAGTTTCACCAGAGTATAGACAGTAAACCGGGACTGCTCTGGTTTTGCCTTACTCTCCTCTTTAATTGATCTAGAAGCAGTATTCCTGTCTCCACCAACCAGATGTAAAATGAAAACCTATCGCAACTTATTTGGTGTTTCCCATGCCGATGTTATCTTTGCTTGTTTTTACACCGAATTCTTAGGGGGTTCCATGGGATGTTATCTTTTTCTCTGGATTGGCCAGAGGTTACTTTGATTTGGACCTCTCAATCGAAAAATGTACTGTATAGCCTATGAAAAATATGGGCTACCTAATTCTTACAAATACTCACCTGCGTTCCATGGCACCAAATGGATGAGGAACAAAACACTAAGACAATTGTAACTATTCATTTGATTCCCGTTCATCCAAGTTTGATAAAAAGGACCGCCGACTGAATTAAAACAGACATATTAAATATCATTTACTGTAAGACTCAAGTAAGAGATTTCCCTATAAAAGCCCAAGAACGCGGATCACGATTTCTCTTTCACTAATTTAACCACTTTCCCAAGTCTTTGTTGAAGAGGAAAAAAAAACAGATTAACGACTGAGTGATTCAGTCAAATTTGGGACACTAATACCTCTTCCATCCAGAGTATCTAGAAACCGTATCTTATTATTATTACTACGGTGATCTGCCATCTCCTTTTCAAATGACAATACTTCGTCCGTAACTCACACTGTTGTTTGGCCTAAAGATATCAGACGTACTTACCTTAAGTGTTATCTCCACTAAATGTCGACAACTCTCCTGACAATGGAAGCTGTGACTCCTCTCTCAGCATGTGGCAAATTATCTATTTGTTCACGCCTGTTGCGCGCACTTCTGATTTGACTGACGCTTTCATAAGTATATATTGTAACCAATATATTACCAATAATTTATATTCATTTTCACCGAAAGCTCCTCTTTCAAAAAATTCTGCGGTCTAATTAAAACCAATTCTAATTTATTTCGTACTATCGAATGTTCTAATAGTCTACAGTAAAACCTAAAGCCTTTTGTTCTTAAATTATTCACATACATATCATGTAAAACGAGACGATTTAAAAAAACAATCAATTTGAAAGAAGTTGTGATTTCAAGTCGATCTTCCAAATCGTTGTTGAAAGAGGTTTATAGGAAAAACTTCTTAATATATCGTTGATGAGCTTTTTTTTGTCGCCTTAACCCATTGTAAAGGGAGCGAAGAACTAGGGGAAAGGAACTCGTTCAAATGCTTGACGCGATCTAGATGAAAGTGGTACTTTTAGTTGGGGGGTGGGGTAGAAATGGAAGAGGAAGCTATGCTCTATTTTTCAACTCTTCAAAACGTTTTGTATTGAACGATGCATTATTCCCTGAGCACAAGAAGGTGACAATACTCGTTCAAAACATTTCTTTTTAAAATAAATTTAAATTGATTCCAAACAGACTTGATAATTTGCGGTCTGTGCTATTCAAGCCTATGAGGATAACAGATGGCGAACATACTGAGATTTAAGAGCAGTAGTGCAAGAAAACCGTAAGAGAGTTCACAATAACGTCGACACAAACAGCAGCACCGTCAGTCTTTAAGAGCACTATCTCACAACGCTATGGGTGCTAACAGCTTTAATTCATTCCACAACACTTTAACTTACAAGATGGCTCCATTTTTCAAATCCAAAATTAGTCAAACATTTACTTCACGAACAGTCCACTCAGATATAGAGGCGTCTAAAAATAGACCAGGTACTACCCATTGATCAGTCCAACTTGTTTACCAATTCATTTGTATACATTTTATAGCTGAACTTTAGTTTACAGAACAAGGAAAAGGTTTTGAGCTTGCTCACATCCACTGAGAAAACTAAACAGAATAAAAACTAATTGAAGGACTATGAAAGTCAAATTTTCCCAACGCAAGTATTCAACGCTCCTGGCCTTCATTAAAAATCTCAAGCTCTTCTGCGTTAATAGTAAGTAACCAAGGTGACTATCAAACCAAGCTTAACCTTCATTTATATTTGAGTGAACTATATCCCAGATCGCTATCAATATAAAAGGAACTGAACATCAAGTATCTCAAGTCTTAATCAAAAGCTTATGTAAACAGAGTAACTTAATTAAAACTGAGAGTTTTGCAGATCTTCTTTATGACCTATCCAAGCCTTAGTGATGAAGGAAACTTTGAATTCAAAATTCTTTTGTTATCCTAAAGAAGTTCAATTTATCATCAGACATTTCACACACAGCTAAACAGTACATCACTGTATCACTGTGTATGCTACCACTTGTATCAATTGTAAATTAAAAAACAAAAACAAAAAGCAGTATTGAACATGAATAAAAAGGTGATGTTGAACAATAGTTTTTTAATTTATTTATCTACAACAGATTAGAAAGCAAATCTATGTACTTTGAAGTTTACTTATTGTGTGCTTTAATAACTCCCTTAACCCTTTAGCTCTCATGAGTGATTAAGACAGAATTTCTCTTTACAATATTCATACAATATCTTGCAGAAAAGTACTGAGAATAAAGAAAAATACCAACTAGGGGATTAAAACTTGATCCAATACCAAACTCTTCAAACTAACATCCCAAGAACTGTATGGCAGACAGTAAGGAGAATTACAAATGAGATCTTGGGAGTTAAAGGGTTAATATAAATTGTGAAGCAAAACAGTGAGAATATAACACATGTATTGTTCAAATTACTTCACAAGTATTAATAGTGTCAATTTTCTCAGTGAAAACCCAAATTTAACTGTAATTTTACAAAGCTGCAGTGGATGTCTGCTCCAAAGCATGGGTTGTTTAATGTCCAAAGTCCCTGTCTGGGAGCAAGACTGGGGCTAGCAAAGTCCAGAGATAAAGAGCAAGACATGCCCAGCTGGAGCTGATTTTGACCCACACAGTGGCCCAGTTACTAGTCAGGGTGGTAAAGTCAGAACCCTCTGGGCTGAGAAAAAAAATACAGATATATAAATCAATGGAGTGAACAGTCTGGCTTTTAGCTGAAAAAAGAGGAATCAAAAGAAAAATGATTGAACTCATCCTTAGACAGGGTATTGAAGTCATTGCCTTTTTTTTAGTAAAATATCATTAACAGAGAAATGACAAACTACATAACTGTGTTATGGCTATAGCAATGAAGTCAGAACCGTCAGGACTGAACAAACATTACAGGAAAAATGAAGAGATAATAAACAATGTAACTGATGGAGGTATTAACCTTAGTTACAGAATAAACAAGAGAAAAGCTCACAGATTCATAATGTAAACAAATTACATGGTGTACATACCTGTACCAGTTGGTAAGTGTCATCATAATATACAGTGAGGCCAAGGTGAAGGTCAAGTGAAAGAAACTGTAGTTATAAGTCACAGCTGTGCTCTCATCATCATAAACACGCTGGATTTTCACCCTGTTTTCATCATTTGTAGCATGTCCACTCTCCGCATCTTATGAGAAAATAGAAGGAAATAAGAAAAGGTAGAGAATTTCAATCAAAAAAGAACCTGAGGGACTTAGAGAAAAGGTGGAAACAGAACAGCTCACAACCTGATGGAAAAGGAAAAAACAGCTCACAACCTAGCTGAGGATACCACTAATTTGATGTGTAGGCATCTCAGCCTTGGTTGTTGTGTCTATGAACTAAAGTTACATTCATTTACAAATGATTAATTCTGAAATAAACCCTCCTATATGTCTAGAGTCGATTCAGCCTTTCTAAAAGCTGTCATTAAAAACAATCCACTATGCTTAATTTTTATTTCCACACAGCAAACAAAAAGAAAAATATGGCTCAGCACCAACCTTGAGAGTAATCTGGAAGAAGTGTCTCCTAAAAAGATTGATATAAAGAAAGTAATCAAAATATCATCCAGATCCGATGACAATGAGTTAATCATCAGTTAATCATTCCATTTTTGTGAGACCTTTGTTTCATACAACAAGGCATTCTCTGTTTTCAGATATTCTGCCATTCTGCTGTTCCACCACTCCTTCTTTCCATTGAACAGGGTCTCCTTGTAAATTGAAAGTATCATCTTTTGCAGCTTGCTTGCTTCCCAAATGTGGCAGCTCTTTTGAGCACAAGTCAGTAATTCAAACAGTAAAATGCCCTCATTTCACAGAAAACGAACATTCCTCAACTTTTCCATGATGAGCAGATCATTTATGCAAGCAAAAGTTTTGATTTAAATTACGGGTCAGTGGATGCCACTGTGATAATTTTGAGATGATTGTCCTCAAATGATTGTCCTTATATCTTCAGATCTACTAGACATAATTTGCTGATTCAAATGGTAAAATGCTCTCTCTTCTGAGGAAAAAAAAATTTCCTGCATGTCTACATGATGTGCCAATCACACCTCTCGAGATATTTCTGCAAGGAAAAGTTTTGTCCAAAATTTTAAGCCATCCTCAAATGATTGTGAGATGTTTCTTGTCTTCTGTTTACCTTCTATAGTGTCACATCAACAACTGAAAAAATTAGAACCTGGGTCTTTTGGGCATAAAATAATGTGTTTCACAAGGCACTCCCCTTTCTTTGGATCCTCCAAAACAAACAACTAGTGACATCAGATCAAATCATAAGAAGTTTGGCATTCTATCATTAGTGTCACTTGCTCCTTTCAATAACATAATATTATGTAGCTTTGCCTCCTATGGGAGCCAGTGGCCAAAATAAACAATTAAAAACATAACCCACAAACCTCCATGCTGCTACTGGCTGTGAGAGGGTTTGAGCTGGTTGTTTTTAAACTAAAAAAACCAATCAAACAAAAAGTTACAAAATTCAATATCGTTTTGATTAAAAAAGTGAACTCCACCAATCTTTCCAAGCAAACGAGACTAAGAAAAACACTAAATAAATGATTCTTTGTCACATTTAAATCTCAGGGTTATACTAAACCTTATTGCAAGGAACAAAACTAACAATTTATGCTAAAAAAATTAAATAATTCCCTTGTTCTTCGTTAGAAATTGTTGAATCAGGCCTTTCCCTCATCAACTATCACACAATAGAAATTTTGAGCTCACAATCTACTAATTAATCATAAGTCATGGTAAACTTCCTTACATACCAAGAGTACACAACCATAACAAACATCAGCACTGCAGCAATGACTGTCCTCCCATTGCCTAACCCAGGTGCCAGATTATCACTGGAGATAAGTGAACCACTTGGGTTACACATGCCATCTAGGAAAACAACAAAAGACAACTGTAACAACATGAATTACAACAGAAGATCAAGTGTTAGCCTCGAACCTGTCTGTGTCCATTATAGGATGTGCTAATAGTGTCAAGGGGAAAACAAACTGATTGTTAAAATACAAGTTATTTGATATCATCTAGCACACAATGTTTGGCATCATATGTATTGTTAGTTCATGTCAAGATCAGGAAGAGTTAAATGTACTATGCAAGAAGAGTAGATCCATAGAATTGTTGAGTATTTATCAAGTAGCACCATACCAGGTTCATTGGACATGCCAGACCAAGTCAGATACATAGTGTACAAAGTAATAACGGCTGCCTGTAACAGACCAGAACTGGGTTGACCTGGTACAGAAACAAAAATTAGCAATCAAATGATAAGACATGTTGTTGTATACCTTAACATTGATGGAACCAATTCTGCTAAGAAAGACTTTTCTTGATGTCTTCCCACATTATTTAAATAGATGGAAAAAAAATCAATCAGTTTTGATACAATACCTACCAGTTACAAGTATATTATTTTAAATCCACTGAGAGCAAAATGTTTTAAAGCCTTAGGGATAATTACTCTTGCTTGTGGTTTTCATTTCATCTTGAACTCAATAACATCTCTAAAGGCAGAGAGTGGTTCTTAACTTACATTCCTGAACTTTGGGATGAATTGCAACCATAGAGACCAGGAAACATAGCACAAGGTTTAAGCTGATAAAGAACTTGTTGTTCTTGCACCCTGAAGGCTGGAAACAGAAATACATGTAAACAATAAAGGCTAGCCTCCATGTTTCATGACAATTAAAACTACAAGTGGTTCATTTTAAACTCCTTAATTCAAAGTACAAGATTTGTGACACAAATACTTTAAATCTTCCGCATTAGTACATTTCAATTAAAGCAAGACTAATTGATTAGCAGTACCTTGATGGATTTTTCCACATACCTCTGTGAAAAACAAGAAAAAGCAAACAACAGCCCCAATTGCCAGAACATATATCCCACTGGTGACTAATACGAGAGCTACAACCAAAATGAGACACAAATTAATATTGATGACCTGTCAAAGAATTAATAAGCACTTTTCCTATTTGATCAGAATTCTCCCTTTAAGTGTACTTACCCCAGTACCACCTTTTATTTCCTGTCGTCTCATACTTCTCAACCCTAAATATCAATAAAATGAATTGCTTCAGTCTTAATGTTAAATTTATAATCAAAGGCAAGCTGGGAAACTTGCACTGTCAAGCAGAGACTATAATTTTGAGCAAATAACATCAAGGGTTTCATTGTATTTTTAATTGCTGGGCCATCCTAGTGAAAGCAGAATGAAAAATAATAGAATTGAACTCCTGGGTGACCCATGATAAGGTAGGCATGTATTGGCACTTAAGTATCCTGGTGTTGGTGTGATAGTCCTGCCCTCCAATGAGGACACTTCAACATGGCAATTTGATTAATTTATTGTTGAAACTCGACTAAAATTTCATGAAATTTTTGCAGTTAAAAGCCTCATTACCAATTTCTTGCCTTGCCAAACTCTGATGGAAACAAACAGCCAAACATAACTGGTCACGCAATTTAACTTGTCAGCAAGTAGAACAAAGACTTTGACTGTCTCATTCATGTACAATCATCCTTTCATTACAGTTTTTGTGACACAGAACTATTGGCATAGTTTTTGAAGCAAGTGGAGTTGCAAAAACATTCTAGTTTTAAGTAGTTTGACACATGCATTATATCAGTCAGTAAATCTTAAATTAAATTTAATAGTAGGAATGAGGACACTGATAGTATTTCTGTTCATTTTCAATACGTCAAGCCCTTGTTACATACCAAGATTCACTCCAGTTGTGGGCAAAATCAATCAGTAAGATCAACTGTAGCAAAATAAACAGGTAGCCACCAAACATTCCAATATACATCCATGCTAAAGACAAAGTTTACAAAGTCAGAACAACGAGTATTCGTCCATAGACATTTAGAGAACAGACCCAAACAAACACAGCTCAATATGCACATATAAGTAAATTTTTACAATGAGTAGAATAAATATGTACAGTAAATATAAATAATTGAGTTGAAAAAACATGAAAAGGTGAAATTTGCACATCTGAAGAAGTCAAAGGTTTGTGAGTTTATAAAATTTCAGGTAAAACCAAGATTGTCTGATACCCTGCACAAAACATCACAAGTACTTATTGACCAGGTGGGAGGGCTGCACAGGAAAACCCTTGGATCAAGGTCATTACATGTTGAAATTTTGAAAATTTTGTTTCAACCTAAATAGGAAACGATAAATGGGCATTAGTGGGGCAACCTCATAAAAGATTCTAAAGGAAATATTTTTCTTTGTTTTGTTTGGTTTTTTTCAGAACAACAGAAACACACATTTCATCAAAAAATGTGACTTTTTTTCAACTCTTTTCTTTTTTCCTGTAAAATTTTGCAACAAAGCTGTGTAATTACAACCAACAGTTCTGAAACTATTACACTGATCTCCAAGCTGAAATACTAAGGAATGTTTTCTTGAGTCTGCTGATAAAGAGTTTACCCAGTATCACGGATATAGCAACAGACATGACCAGCCATATTCACAGAGATTTATAGAAAAGGAATTTGTACAACTCTGCCGACATCAAATCTGGCTGGAAATTGGTTTATATACTTAGAAAGATGCAGAGGTTAGCTGTAGAAGAAACTTAAAGGCCAGTTTCACACAAAGTATGTCTTAAAATTCAATTGTTGCAGCCCAATCTACTCTACTGTGTATCAATGATGGTTTTATGTGACCTTGCCAGCTACAAGTCACAAAGGTTGTGTTTGTGGTCACAGTCAAACTCTGTATAAACAAGGTTACATTATCTGATATTTACCAACTCCAAATTTTCCTTTAGGAATGTAAAATGCTGCAACTATTAGTGCGTTAACAAGAACAATCTTGATAAGCCAGAACCTGAGAAATAAAAACATCAGAATAAGAAAGATCCATCCTAAGATTTAAATTCAGATGTTAGCTGTTCTTAATAGTCTAAGCTTGCCAAAGAGGAAAATAATCACTTCCTTGTTAACACTGAAACCATAATTTTCACTTTTGTTAATTAAACAGAAAACAAGTTAGAAACAGTCACACCACACATGAACAAAATGAGTGCTCCTGAGTATAATTATCAAAGATACCACAAGGAATATGACCAAACTCCTAGAAACCCTTTGATAGAAAAAGTTCTAGTAGATAATATGGCTAGTTGTTGTAATATAAAGCAAGTATTTCCTCCTACTTGGACATTGTCCTTGAAATTAATTGCACATTATACATTTAAATCACAAGTATACTATAGTACTGTAAGTATTAGATTGACTAACTCACCCATTTTGAAATTTGGCCCTGGGATCACTGCTATTCTTGACTTTAAACATCAAGACTGCCATTAAGAGGAAGAATGCTGCCATTGCAAAACACACTCGATACACTGCCAAATATCCCACCAGACTATTACAGTTTGACTCTGGAACATGATCACAGAAACGTGGAATTTTCTCCAATTTTTCAACAATGCCAGGGGCAAGCATGACGGCAGACAAGACTGTTCCCAGGAAGAGAATTATTGTGTAAACAATCCTGGATGCTGTGGAGTTTTTGCATGACGGACATCGAACACAGCAACAAAAACAAGCTGATGAGCCACAACAACACGCCGCCTGGAGGGATTCGACACAGTTTTCAGCAAAAAAGAAATGGAAAGTCAACCCTTTGGAATTTTTTACAAGTTATCTAAAAGGAAAATCGTGCTGAATTGTGACATTCCGGACTCAATATCTCTCACCTAATGGTGAAATGTACGAATGCATCTGTACGATTAGAAATAGTCATAACTTTTCGACAAGAGCTTAGTCAATAATTTGTCAAATATTGCCGAGGCAATCGTATTTAAAAAGTATAAGTAATTAGCCTCTAAATTGCATAGGAAGAATGGGGGTAAGTGAAGAATCTGTAGTGAACTATTGAGGATGTAAAAGTAGGGTCATCAGTCCTGAAAATCTTGGTTTCTACCAAGCTATCAGACTATACCATCTGGAAAACATGGCGGACTTAGAAGTTACTTACCACTGGAGCTAACGAACTGGCACAAGAGGCACACGACGAGAAAGCAGCACAGCTTCCTAAAGCACCTAATACAGCTCCCATTTTGTGCTTAAAAACGCAAAAATCTTCTGTGATCAAAAAGGAAAACTCGTCTGCTGCGATAGTACTTTGAGTATCTGGTTATGACGTCACTGAGCTGCAAAAATCAAGCAGTGGATTGTGGGTTAAAAGGAGTTTTCTTTGTGCTAAGTTTTCGTTAAATTTATCTGTTATCTATCCAATTTGTCGTATTTAATGCCTTATTGAATGTCTTAAATTGTTGGCACGTTACTTGTTTAAAAAAATTTGACACATTTCCAGAAGATTCGGAAAGGTATAGAAAACACTTTCCTGAGAGCCCGCGGTTTAATCTGCTGTACAACACAGACAGGTGTTTTTGAAAGCGTTGGAAAACACGACACAGACATGAACGAAGACATAGAAGATGACGGAGGGGAAATTCAAACATTTCTTCATCAACATCACGCTGGCTGCGTCTTATCCAGGCTTCACGATCTGCGGGAAAGAGAAGAACTTTGTGATGTTACACTTGTGGTGGAGGGAAGAGCCATACAGGCTCACAGAGCTGTGTTGGCGGCGTCTAGTCAATACTTCAACGCCATGTTTACAGCTAAGATGAGTGAAAGAAATCAGGCGACGGTAAGGCTAATATTTGATTTTAATGGCTAATTGTTGCTTGGGGTGATTTGTGTGTATAAGGTTGGTCAACGCATCTCCATCAACTTTTCATCTCAGACGGTGTGTTTGTGGGAAAATTTTTACTAAGAACAAGACATGAGCATATTGTTAAGAGCCTGAAGTCTTGTTTTGTGATATCAGACTAAAAAATTAATTAATAGCTGGCGGGGATACTCCTGTATCCTAGCAACAACCGAGATTATGAAGAAGTTTCCAATACATTTAGCTTCAAGTGTGTACGGGTAATGTTACAGTATAATGACAAAGTTAAATGATCATAAACTATAAACATAGATAATGTATTGTAGCAGACAATGTAAAATCAACACAGAATACTCTTTGCTGCAAATTTAATTTATCCATTTTTATTGAAGGTGGAGATCAAGGGGATTGATTTTGTGTCAGCAGAAACTCTCATAAACTTTGCCTACACATCACAACTCACAATCACTGACTCCAGAGTTCAAAATCTATTTCTGGCTGCAGATCTGCTTCAGTTCAAATGGGTTAAAGACTCTTGCATTCACTTTATCATGCAGCAAATAGACATCACAAACTGTCTGGGTGTACGAGCACTTGCTGAAAGACATTCCTGCAAGGCCATGTATGAAGCTGCCACACGTTTTGTTACTGAGAACTTTCTGAAAGTCTCTCAAACTGAAGATTTTCATAATCTGAACCTTAATGAAGTGCTTGAGTTAGTGAAGAGAGATGATGTGAATGTGTCTGATGAAATAGAAATATTTAAAGCATGCATGGGATGGATTGAATACAACACTGTGAGCAGGAAGCAACACCTTGCTGAATTTTTAAAGGCAATGAGGCTGCCTTTTATTCCTGTGAAAAATCTTCAGAAACATGTGAGTGGACATGATTTGGTGAAACATGATGTTTTTAGCAGGGACATAGTTGAGGAAGCAGCAACATTTCATTTTGAGCATGCTGGGATGAAAATGAGAGACTCATATGCTGAAACTGTGTACATACTTGGAGGAGAAACATCATTCATGAAAGAAGTAAAGACTGTTGAAAGATTTAATCCAGAGAGTACACAATGGGAGGGAGTGAAGTCTATGACTGAAGCACGAGCATCATTCACTGTGGCTACCTTAGAGGGTAAGTTGTATGTTATAGGAGGTTATCGTCGTGGAAGGAAGCTGAACTCCATGGAGTGTTATGATCCAGCACAGAATGGCTGGGTCAGTTTACAGCCAATGAGCAAGTGTCAAGGTGATGTGCGTGCTGCAGTACTTGATGGCTTTATTTACGTGGCTGGAGGATCCAGTGAAGGTCTGCTGACATGCAGGTAAGGGGAGTTATGTTTGAATGCAATTTTGTGGGAAGGTCATGTTTTAAGCTGTAATGTTTTCATCAGTGGTCTGTACAAAATGCAGACTGCAGACTGGGCATAAAATGCAGACTGAGAATTGAAACTCTTTTTTCACCTGATATATGATAACACATATTAGTATTTGTGTAGTCACCAAACAGATGAGAGATAAAACCACCGGAAAAGTAAACAAATAGCCAATCAATGAAGGAACAGTTTTAGTCTCAGTCCTCATTTTTCAACAAAATAAACAATTGAAAAGATGAAGAGTATGGACCACCTATAAAACTGTCAATAATTGACAATTATTGTTTCTCTGATGTTGCATATGCTAATTAATCAATACTGACATGCTGCATGCAAAGTGAGAAGACTATATTAAGGCTTGAAATCCTATTAAGAACAACTGTGGCCACTTTGTTAGAACAACTATGGCCACTTTGTTAATAACAAAAAATATATCAGGAAATAAGTAAGGAATATTCCACAATAGTGCAAATGATGATGAAAGATGATCATGGAGTGGCGATTACCTGACATGTGGTAAGTTATTAGATGACATGTTGTCACATATCAGACAAAAATGTTTAAATTCTCAGTATGCATTTTGTACTTGGTCTGCATTCTGCTGTCTGCATTTTGTACTGACCATTTTAATCACTGAGTTTTGTTATCTAAAGTTAAATTGAGATAAATTCTTCTTATATGCTATTTTAAACTCTGTCATTTTCCTTTAGAAAATCTGAGAGTATTAACCCTTAACACTCTGACATCAGTATGGATATTCTCCATACTGTTTGTGCCATTCCATTCTTCTTTTGATTAATATTCTATTTCTGAAGACCATTTGATTATCCCAGGTCACCCATGGGAGTTTGAAAAGAAAAAAAAGACCCTTGGAGCACATAGTATAGCTTGATGATTGTGTATGCATAAAAAGTACCAAACCTGCTTTGTGAAATGTTCCTAACATTAACCACAGGTTTACTGTATCCAAAAAAAAAAATGTATACATATATCTTCCCAAACTTTACCAACCTGGAATCTTTGAATTCTACATTCACCAAAACTTTTAATTGTTTCCTTAGTGGTATCAAGTTAAAATACCATAAAGTAAGAAGTCAGTTATGACTAACCTTGACATCGTCTTTTCAGTGATGGTAAATTTTTTTGCAACATAGCTTTTTTTTTTCTAACAGCTATGTGGAGCGGTATTCACCCTTTGGGGAAGGATGGCAAGTGGTTGCTAGTATGCATCGTCAAAGACGTCGCTTTGCTCTTGCTGTGCTTGACACTCATATCTATGCAGTTGGAGGATTTGATGACAGCAGAGGGGATCTTAAACATGTGGAATATTATGATGGCAGCACAAATACATGGACAGAAGTGAAGCCTATGCATTGTTGTCGTTATGATTTTGGTGCAGTGTCATTGTCTGGTTTTCTTTATGCTGTAGGTGGTGCCAATGGCAGGAGAGGTTCATTGAATACTGTTGAACGTTTTGATCCAACTATGAATGAATGGTCAATGGTTGCCCCTTTGAAGCATTGTAGGGGAGGTGTGTCAGTAGCTGTGCACTGTGGAAAGATTTTTGCAATGAATGGAATGAATGAATACATGTCAATTGTTGATTCTACAGAGTGCTACAATGAAGTACAAGATAAATGGAGCAGCTTAGCTGCTTGTACACACACAGCAAGATTCAGTGCAGCAGCCATTGTCTACCCTCCTGTAATTCAGCTGCATGTTAAAAGTCTCCATGGGTCAGCATGTCATGAACAACAATAAGAACACTCATACTGGATAAGATCAATCTGAGGTCCACCATGGCTGCCAGGATATTAATACCATTCATGATAAATAAAGTTTGCTGAAAAGAGTTGCTTAAAATCTGTCAATCCTGTGTAGTAATAATTCAATTACCTAGTAAGTGGAGTTGAGAATAAAAGGAAAATTAATTGCCACAATAAATAGACAAAAAGCTTGTTTTCACTGGATACATTAGCACTATCATCTAATCAGAGTTTTCAACATCCAGATAATGGCTTGTAGTTCAGAGTTGTTGGAGTAAAGTGTAAATAACTAGAAACCTAAGGAGAAGCACATAGATCAAAACATTTTGACCAGTATGCTTTTAATTGCTTGACAAGGTTCTTTCAAACTTCTCAAGAATATCAGATGTTTGTTTAGAAATGTCAAGAGATTCAAAAAATTAATTTAGGCATTTAGTCTACTCTAGTCATTCTAAACCGAGCCTGGCTGCCAGGCATTTAGTTACAGTGAATATTATTACTGATAATCACCTAAAATGACGCCCGAAAAAGGTTAACTTCATTTCTTTATTTTTTAGAGTATACTAAAATCTACCCACATTTGTGGGTAACTTTTTAAAGCTAACTTTCAAGCTACACTTCTTTGCGGATGTTAGAAATTATTGTGAAGAACGAAAAATACCGCTTTTAATTAACGTTAACATAAAAATTATAAAGAAACTGAGATAACAACCTTAGAAACTTAGGTAGCGACTTGTTGGATTTTTGGCAATTTTTAGCAATTTTTGGCATTCCACACAGCAACTTTCCAGCAGTTTATGAGCACAATCGGGACAGGCCTAGTCGGGGTGGGGTGGGGTGGAGTGGGGGTTAATGGTAACAGGTAGAATTGAACCATGTTGAAGAAATAAATAACACTTTGACATCGAGACTGACTTTTTGTTGTTTTCATCTCAGGATCAAATCTTGAAGCGATCCACAGATAAATTGAAGGGAGAAAAGAACCTCCTCCCTTTCAATCCAAGCGAGGAGTTTCACTCTCAAAAAATGATCTGAATGATATGAGGGGTAGGGGTTATATTGACCTTATTTACAATAACAGCTTTAATTTGGTGGGTCTGGATCATACGCATTCATTTTCTTGTTTTTTAACCCTGAGCAACTTTTGTTATTTTTCGCTTTCAGTTTCTGCATTTGTGCAAAACTTTTGTACTCATTGCGAAGGCTCTTCTGTATTTTGTCTCAGAAGAAAATGAGAGAACTCAGATGTTAATTTGCCGTTTTCGTTTACCATAACGAAATGTGCTTCTAAGGAATGGTGCTAATTAAAAAAATCGTGCGCGCTAAAAACCCGTGCAGTTAGACGAGCCATTCATGGAAGAGCTCAATAACCCACGTGCTTGCCAAAGCTTTAAAACGGCGCACTTTTTGAAATCCTCACAAGCTTCCAGAAATTCTACTTCAACGATAATTCTTGTCGCAATTTTAGCCCTTCCACAGTGTTTCTTCTTTGGAACCCTTCTTTTCGTTCCTCGTCTTGTCAAGCTCAACATCACGTATCATTTCTGGCAACGGACGGAAGCAGGTATGTTTTTCTGCATTTTGTGCAAAACTTTCCTACTCGTTGAGGGGCCCTTCTGTATTTTGTCGTGGAGGAATGTTAGATGGACATGAATGGAGATGTTAATTTGCCGTTTGCGTTTACCACAACAAAATGCGCCTCTAATGTATAGTGCTAATTAGAAAATTCGTGCGCGCTAAAAACCTGTGCAGTCCAGTGTTCTCCTTTTCAGGCAGTAACCGGTAACATTACCGCCTGTAGTACCTCTTAATACCGTTTAAAATTGCTTGGAATTCTTGAAAATTCAACAAGTAAAAAGACTGCTTTACCGGTTTGAAAATTTATTTTAACTGTAATGCTTAAAATAAGGGAGAACCCTAGCAGTTAGACTAGCCATTCAGGGCAGAGGTCAAGAACTCGCGACCAACGACTTCGACAAAAATTGAAGCTTTGTTAGTTCCCTTTCAGTTTCTGCATTTTTTTCAAAACTCATGTAATCATGGCGAGGCCCTTTTGTTTTTTGTCCTGGAAGAAAAATGAGAGAACCCAGAAATTAATTTGCCGTTTGCGTTTACCATAACAAAATGTGCCTCTAATTAATGGTGCTAATTAGAAAAATCGTGCGCGCTAAAGTCCCGTGCAGTTAGACGAGCCATTCAGGGCAGAGCTCAATAACCCACGTGCACGCATAAGTTTTAAACAGCGCACCTTTTGAAATTATCACAAACTTTGAGAAATTCTACTTCAGTGATCAATTCTTGTCACAATTTTGGCCCTTACAGAGTGTTTTCTACCTTGGAAGCCCTCTTTCGTTTCTCGTTTTGTCAAACTTAACATCACGTATCATTTCTGGCAACCGACGGAAGCAGGTAAGTGTTTATCGACGCTTATATAAACAAGTAAAACTGTGTAAGCTAATTCTAAAAGAAGCTAAGCCATTTGCAAATCCAAGAGGGGCTCTAGGTCGAAGCTTCGTTTTATTAAATCCTTTAATTCTCTCCAGTCGCTTGTATTTCTGCCCAGAAACTGTCAATTACTTAGCCGTAGAAATTCTATTGCATAATTTTTTTGCAAAATCGGCTTTCTTGAAATTCTTCTTTGAAACTGTTGTCGCGCGGAGGACCATTTCTAATTTTTCATCATCTTTGCTGAAATTCCGCGTTAACAATGTGGCGAAAGCATGGTTCGTGCTCTTAAATTTTAATTAGTTACAAGTTTAAAGCGAAACTCGGTGTCTTCAGTAATGCATACTAATTTTGATAAGGAGTATATCTCTAGCTTGTTCATAGAAGCATTAGTTTCGAACATTGTGCGTAATATAGAGATGACGATTGAATGAAGGAAATATTTTAATTGTCTTCCCAAGCAGATTCTAACAATTTCCTTTGTCTCAACTCTTAAATTCCAAGATCAGATCGTCAAATTCTCCCTTCAGCTGCCAAACATTTCCTTCCAATTAGTTACAAAAATTTGATATCAGAACAAGATAACATCTAGGAGATAAATTTGAATATTCTCATTTCCTGTTTACTAGATAATCTATAATAATATAGGGAGAAGTTACATGTTAATCACTTCTTAGAGTTCAAGAGTTAACCGCTCGTTATGAAAAGTGAAAAAATTAAGTTCACACTTCTGTTTTTTTTTTCTTTTTAATCGAAACATCTGAATACGGTTTTTACTCAAAGGTTTGTAAATATTCTGATATTTTAGACAAAAAGCCCCTTTTTCAAAGCAGGTGTTGATTTTTGGGCATTTAAGACAAAAAGCCCTTCTCTTATCACAGTTGTTTTTTATAAATTCAAATCTTGTTTACATGATCGGCTGTTATCTCCGCTATTTGCATAAGATTTCATTTGCCTGTTTGTTTGCCTTTTTTCTGGGCTTGAAATGAAGCGATAACTTGCAAGTGTTTAGATGTAATTCTTCACTAAGATTCTCCAAATTACGCAAGGAAAATTAAGGTACGCCTCGATGTTTACTCGGCTTGACTCCAGATGAAACTGTTATTTGGCAATTTGAAGAGGGTTTCGTTCTCAGATTTTAGTCACTTTTTCGGTAGTCTTAAAAACCTAGGAATTACTAACGTTTTATTTCTCCTTACAGTATCACCCCTAATCACAAATTAAGGTCACACACAAGAATAAAGGAAATAATCACCAACAAACGAAGCTCATGATAGTTAAACACATTCTCCTTAGAAATGTATAGAGACCAGTATTGAGAATAAAAACATTGATGTAAAGCTGTGAAGGGTTTAGGAGTGACTCGAATTAAACAGATCTTTCCAATCTTATTACTCCCGAGGGTAACTCTAAAAAAAGGATCTAAATTTATTACGTGTTGACCGACCAAGTTTTGCAATGTTTCGGTAAAAGTGGTGAACAGAAAATCCCTATTCAGTTCTTCTGACATGTGCGATGGTTGCGAACTCCGAATATGATTATTTTGCAATGTTTTCCCTTCCACAATGGGCCATGATGTTTTGCCGTATTATCAATTTCACTTAAATATCCACGATATCTTTCTCATTTAGGCTAATACTACATTCTCCAGTCCAAACACCACTCAGCCCATTCCAGTCCAGATAGTCTAGTTCACTTCATTTCAATGGAGTCCAGTTCATTGTGCATTTAGTCTAAAACTCGGCGTCCAGTTCCATGCAGTCCAGTACGGCCCGGTCCAGTCCGCGCCATTCCTTTCCAACTGGTCCAGTTTATCATCACAAGACAAGTGCTGACTCTCGTCATCAGTATAACTCGCATATGGACGGGAAAGCGCGGTGAAAAAAAGGGCCAACGCTCTATTTGGTTTTTTCTTCTCTTCCTCTCTGTTGCATACGCAGAGGCTAGGAACAGATCAGTTAGAAGACGCTGATGTCCGGCTGGTTAGTAAGATTCTTTGTGGGTTGGGATGAAGAGAGGGTTACTAGATAGTGCGCTGGTTAAACCATAAACTCCAAATTCTACTAGAAGTTGTCGTACTTCTGACTCGGCTCAAAGTAGTTAAAGTAAAAACTTTAGCCAGCTTGGTTAGCGGGTTCCCTTGAGGTTGGGCGAGGTCCTCTCCAAATTTTTCAAATTTTTCTTTCAATCGAATGCTGTTCAGCATACTTTCTGTTTGGATTGTTTCTTCTTCGTCGCTTCTTCGGTTAAGCGGTTTGTCACAATATCGGCTTCGTTTATACTTTGGCTCTTCATCAACAGGTCTTTCGGTGTTAATCAGCTGCTCATTGACTTAACCGCACGTCTTGCCCCATAGTAACTTCGACTGTGGCCGATTACATTTTCAGTTTCACTTGATTGAAGGGATCTTAAACACTGTGATCGAGTAAGACTGTTTAACTTAAAAAAAAAAGTTTGGCTCGAAGGTTCAACTAGATTTTAACGTTATTATAGGAGATCGGATTTAAGCAATTCAGCTATGACAGCAAATTAGAATTGAGAATTAGCCTTTTACAAAAAAGATTACGCATGTGTTAATGAAAATTGAGATCGTGCTGCTTTCGGAGTTCGGCTTTACTTTCGGTTCGAATTTCACTTCGGCTTTTCGTTCGGCCTTTCGGAACTTGTTCGGATTTTCAGTTCGGAATACAAAGGCAATGGGGAGCGACTGAAAGTTGTTAGCAAGTTGATATAAAAATAAAAGCATCGTCCGGAACACTATGGGTGTTCAAATTATCGGGATCGACATTACTGACGCTAAACATGCGGAGTTTTGTGGACGCAAAATTTTTCGTCTAGGGTGCAAGTCCCCTCCTGCTCGGTTTTTGTGGAGTAATTTAAAAAAATCTAAGTAAATTTATTGATATAATATGGTATTAGAAAATAAAATGCCTAACCCGATTGTCCCTGTGTTCTTTTCTTTATTAAGAAGCTAGTTTTAAATCCTACTAACGCAATTTCAACTGCAGGAGCTTTATATTGGCCTATTGTCGGAGGCTCGAATTGCCAATTTCGGGGCATTTGCTCAAATCGTGAACTGGATTATTTCGATGGCTTTCCAATCTGCCAATGAAAAAGCCCCAGAAGCAAGGTCACCTTGGTGCTAACTGTGCGTTCGCCCATTTTCGGAGGGTTTCAGGTTAAAGATTTAAAATTTCTCTCGGTCCATTTTCGGGGACTGACCAAAACTTTTCAAAGTTTTTACTTTGAATTTCCTATATCTGCGGCTCAACAGGAGCCCATTTTCAGGGCTGTGCATCACTGAGATGGTAAGTGAAGAATTATTGTAATTTTGGCATATTGATCTGTTTAAGATATGTTTGTTCGCTTGATAATTTAATAAGAG